CAACGCAATGAGGCTCAAACGAACGTAGTCGTTACTCGTGTCGTCAATTACAAAATACGAAAGTACACAATAAACCCGCAATAGTCATCTGTAAGGATCAGGCTGACCGATCGCTAGTCGGCGATTCATCGGACGTGGCTGGTTGCATGGTTTCATGGTTCTCGCCGGCGACCTCGTCTGAACACGGCATCGGTGAGGACGCAGTCAATGTACCGTTTGGAAGACCATCCTCCTCAGTCTGATGATCCTCAATCAGTGTTTCGTCGTTTTCGATCACTGATCCTTGTTCCTCGCGCTGAAACAACAATCATAACTGCATTACGGTCACAACAGAAGAAGATATAGGTTAAATTCCCTTTGTCAGCTACAAAATATCTTTAAATGCTAAGTCAGTACGATGAATCCTTGTCATCGTGTGACCCATGATAGACGGGCAAATAATGGAGCAAGTCCGACAGGTAGCTAGACGCCACATTCCTGACGCACTTATAAACCGGCCGATATTAAAATTTAATAGTAATAAATAACGGTCGTTAGAACGAAATGGAAATCTCTCGATATTTATTTCCTCTCCCAAATCTCCAATTGTCTAAGTCGAAAGCGGACAAGAAAACAGAGGCCGGTGCTCACCGTGGATTTGATTGGCTCGTTCTGCGTAAGCACAACTTGGAATATACAACGCCACGGTATACTTATTTGCACTAAAGGATGATACTCGAATATTCGCAGTACCAAAAGCGCTAGAAACCGTGACCGCGTAAATATCACTAAGCGAATACAATTAACAACGCACTTATGAACAGTCTACGGTACATTGTTCAGTGGATATTCAGCTCAGGCTAACTAATAGCGTTGAAAGTACGCATTGCTCTTGTACTGTAAAATCATATCACCACTGCTGACTACAATCCGAAATGATTTTGCACTAGTATTCTATGAGTGCATGTGCGATCGTCATTCTGCCCCGTTTGCATAAGCAGAACGTTTCTGGTCTGTGATATAGCTTACGTTTGCAATTTTATATCACCCTTGCTAAAAGGCACCGGTTTCTGCACCGTAGAAGGAAATATTTCTCCCTGAAGCAGATCTACCTCTACCTTGTTTGCCTCGGCCAACGCCTGCCGTGATTCGGTTCGGCTGCTACATGAAGCTTGCGGGCTGGAGTAGATGGCTTCTGCCCAACCAGTTTGTCTAAGAGGGCAAATCTATTTTTCCTATTACTGAGGTCACCTGTGCCTGGAAGAGAACGGAACCATTCGTTAAGGGGTCCTGCCATTTAAACGTTCATTATGCGTCGAAGTCTACGCTGCTGTATGCAGTTGTAGAAATACAACCGTTGTTATTTCTGCTGTACGAAGACACTGACTTGACGGAAGCAAAGTACAGGCGGATTTTTGTGCAAAGGGCTACTCGTTTCTCAGTCGAAAAATTTGACAGCTTATCAAAAGCACTGAAGGTGAAAATGACCCTCTTATTTAATTATCATTGAATGGTGTAATTGCTAGAGACGACTAAGCCAAGACACTCAAAGTTTTCGATTTCCTCTACAGTTTTACCTTTCTGCCCTGTTAGTAGATCAGACGTATCTCATAACTTTGGACTTCCAGACATAGAGAATGAACTCAGATGTCATAGCGGCGTTGCATACGGAAGTCCGCATCACAAACCACTGCTGAGTACAATATCAGCTGCGCACTCCAGATCAGTAGAATATTTAGCCGGATGTTTTGAATCGTGCCTTCTGCTAAGAACGAAAACCTTTGTGTTTGCCAGGGACAGCAGTATATTTGGCATGAAAGTCCAGAACAACGTTAAATAGAAAACGTGTAAGCACTTTTCTTGGAGAACTCCACGGTTAACAGGGAACCGATCAGAGATCTCTCCTTCAACTGTGACAACGGACAGTTCCTACATACATTTCTACCAACACGGCGGGAGCGATGCCTTCATATATGCCATAGCATTGGCACCTACACAGTTTGAACAACTTCAAAGATCCAGTGAATCAAATGCAGCTATAAACTGGAGGAAACTGGAAATGCAGAGCCGCGGGATGCACTTGAGTTCAGTAATTATCTGTACTGGACGACTTTACTGGTTTGATGTATCGACGAATGTCGTCTGCGACGAAATATTATAACGATGACATGCGACTGGCTCGTTGCAACGCGGTTGAGTAAACTCAATATCGCTTTAACATGCTGACCACCTTTTCTCGTACCATCAAATGCACTGATTTACTCCTCTCAGTTCAGCCACTGAGTACTACTCTGTAACGAATATCGAAGCTGTTATCGATGTCCCAATTTCAGTACGTTTCAGTTTATTGGTTGCAGTGGTTTATTTTTAGGAACTGTACGATTCTGTCTAAATCTCAACTTGTAAAGTACCTAAATGAAAGTACTCAAGGACCTCCAAACTTAGAATTACCGGCTACATGTGCCAGTTTGTACGATGCCATGAGATAAATACTTTTCCGTACCGTAAAAACGTACCAAGTGGTTGGCTCTGCCAAGTAGTCATCTTCGATGACCGATTTTACGAGCAAAACAGAATCGCTGATCTAAACGCATCTCGACAAAAATAAACCTTCACCGACATTTCAGTGTTCGCATTTAAGGACCGATATTTATTTACGTCGTTGTGTGGCACTTTAAGCAGTACAAAACGGTACTGGCAAGGTACTCTTCAACTGTCTACCATAAAAAATGCTGTAAGACAGTGTTCGCAAAGCATTCAGATGAAACTTGGCGTCGGAAATCCAAAATTTAGGCTTCGCCGATTTACACAACAGGGCGTGCATATTCGACATTTACGCCAGGGGCAACAAAGTAGTCAGTGGCTTTCGATGAACGACTTTAGGATGCTAACTAAATTACGAATTGTGAAAGGTTTGAAATAAAATTCAACTCTTGTTTAAATGGTAAGTTTCCAACATTCGAACAACTGCTTGTCTACGCTTTGGTAAAGTAGTTTTATGTAGCACAAGCAGTCGTGAACAGCTTTGTTTTTTGGAACTGTCGGATACTCATGTACTAGTTTGTGCGATGATTCTGTGATTCAGTAGTTTTCTGCATCGAAAAAATGCTACACGGCAGTTCAGTCTATACAGCAGTGACTGCTGATGACCAATTTTAGATGCCAACGATATTGATGACCGTAAAGGGTCTGCTGCTCAATAGAGTACTTTTGTGTACTCTACATGAATCTGTTTGCATGCCAAATGAATGATTTTGAAGACGGTGACTACGATCACGTACGATTGTACTTTTCTGTAGTTAAGTACAGAATTATTCGCTAAGATCAGTCGAACTGTCAATAAAACGCTGATCTTACAGTTGCGTAATTATCACCTGTTCATATCGCGAGAGAACACTCAACAGACTAAAACTAACGCCAGCAAGTTAGCAGCGAGCACACGTACGATGACTCCAAGGCGTTAAACGCATGTTGAACTTGGTTCAGATTAAATCAAGGGAGTCATCAAGTGCATTGTTGGTTACGAAGAAGAAATTTGAGAGTAGTTATGCTCACGATGTACTTAAATAAGTATCTTATCAGAGTACTGGTTGGTACTCGATGACGACCAATTATCGGTAGGCAAGCGAGGAGAAAGGAGGTGAGTAGTGGTTGATGGGATTTGCTTCGCTTTGCGAGTGGCGTTACGTCGCGCCATGTCGCGTTACGTCTTACCTTTTTGGTGATCAGGCCGTCGATGTAGGTGTCGAACTTTTTCAGCAACTTCACGCTCTGGTTGTGCAGCATGTCCTGAAACGACGAAAGCTGAGATCCGGTTGCGGTGTATTGCGCCGTCGATCGTCGTCGTCGCCCTACTCCCAGCCTTAGTGTTAATTTTCATGGTTGTCGTTGCGATTGATGACGCGTAACGTGCGACAACCGGAACGAATCAAGACGACGGCAACAAAAATGAGACCAACGATGCGTACGGAAAAACGGTCACTGGTCGCGCTGAAGTTTACGGCGATGAGACTAACATCAAGACTGGGGCAGAAGGAACGAAACAACAACTGACATTCGGCGACGATGACGACGAGTGGCGCGACGGTGAGGGAAACGAGGGCGAGGGGGGGGCACACGCCACTTGGACGGTCGTCTTCTGGTT